CAAGTAAGACGGGATATAAATATTTTAAATAAATAAATAAGAATTAAGCCAGGATTAATTGTTAGAAGGTATATGACTACAGTCAATATCATCTTCAGCTTTTGTATATTCTCCCAGAATATCCCTTTGTTTTCCTGTAGTAAAAAATACAGCTGTAGATACTCTTGGAGGATGCAGAATATCTGCACACAGCTTTATTTAGATTTGAGTCTGCTTTAGGCCTGGTTTCAAGATGGGCAACTAAGCATTAATTTGATAGACATTACTGGATGTGGAGGGCAGATGTGATCCTGTTGCTTCTCTTTTCATCAGCTTTTGGTACTATTGTACTGGTACCCTTTTGACCAGTACTGTAATGTGGGAAAAGGGGTCACCATGGCATCAGTTGCAGAGAATGGAATTGGGCAATTATATACCCTTTGGCAACTGCTCTGTGAGGTGGTGTATGACATGGTCCTGATGCCAATGATTTTAAACATCTACATCTAACCATTGGGCAGCATCATTAAGGGATGGCATCCTATTTTGTTTCCCTCATACATCTGAGAGAGGTGTGGTTGTTCATGAACTGGGCTGGTGCCATTGGTGGACTAGACCAGGGCTAACCAGCTGATGTTAAATCTTGGTAGGTCAGGGATTGTGTGGATGGACAATTCCTGGGTCTGGGTTGGGTAATTGGGCGCAGAATGGGATTACACACCACCTGCAATCTGTGGGTGTCTTGGATTGATTTCTGTCACTGGAGAATGCAGCCCGAGTGGCAAAGAACATCTGTAACAAGTTGTGGCTTGTATGACAGCCAAGATAATTCCTGGACCGAGACAGCCTAGCCACAATGATGGATGCACAGGCTGGACTATTGTCTTGCACTTTACTGCCATTGAGATTCCTTCAGAAACTACAGCTAGTGCAAAATGAGGCAGCTAGATTGGGTCTTAACCTGATGGGTGTCTCTTTAACATAATAAAGATTGTATTTAGAAGCCTCTCATCATGATCTGGTGAGAAGAAAAAAGAGAGAGAGAGGAGAGGGAAGGATAGACAACCAGCTTGTGACAAATTGCTAGCTTCAGATTCTCTGTGAAAGCCCAGATGACTGTAAGATTGCAGTTCAGCCTGAAAATTCTTATCACTGGAAGAGTTATGCAAGAGTAAAAATTTACCCATTAATGATTTAACCATCAAGATGCCATAGTTGCAGAAACAGCTTTGGTTGTTTGTGTCTTTTAGAGACAAAAGGCTGCTCTCAAAGTCTGGTCCTATTAGCCTAGCAACACACAAAGATGTAAACAAGCATTTCCCCAGAGACAAAGCTTCTCAAGCTTCGGCAGGTCTTTGTGCACAACTATATCTCACAATCTTCTGAATAAGACACAAGGTATCATTTGATGCTCATATCACAAACTTACTGTTTTCTTCTCTCCAAAATGTTCCTCATCCATCCATGTACTGAAAATTCTTATGGCTGATTTCTAGAGTGACCAAGTGTACAGAAGACAGTCCTCCATCTGAAGGAATAGCTTATCTAATCCATTTACAAATGAAAAACATAAGAAATGCTATCCGTCAAAAGTTATCACCTGAACAGCAACTGAACTGGTGGCAGACACATACAACACTGGTCCCAGTATGCCATCCATTTCCCTTCTTTTATGTCTAGCACTCAGATCTGAAAAACTGTATTGGTGTGTGCGTATGTGTGTGTGTTTGTGCATGCATGTTTAAAGGAGCCATTTATAAAGATATACCTCACAAGTAGAGTCCGATTTCATTTTGTGTTTGCATGTGCAGAACCGCCAGTGACACTAATGGGAAATTATGTTGTGCACCCACTCATTATCAGAGACTTGTTTTACAAAGACAGTATGTAAGGAAATGGAGAAAAAAAATCACAACAAACTGTTTAGGAGCAAAATATGTCTCGTTAGTTCCTTGTAGGTTTTCTTGCAATGATGTGTTTTTCTTTTGTGTAGACACTAATGCTGTTTCTACTTACCCCCTCATTTGCAAATATTACAGTCATAAGAAGTTATCTACACTGTTGCTAAACTAGCAATGTTTCTGTTGTTGGGGCCAAGATGCTAAATTTCATGATTTTGATGCAGGTTTGGCAGTTTCAAAAGCCAGGCTTTATGTATTTATTTATCTATCCATTACCCAGTTGCAAAATTCCTAGCAAAGCACATAGGTTTTTGTCAAGTACTGATGCAGGCTTGTAACCCCCAATTAAAACATTACTGTTGGTAAACATTCTGTTAGTAAATCTCCATTACAACCCTTTTTTTGAATAACTGGCATTTATTCACTCCCAACTATCTTAATACTGCCTATAAATACATACAAATTAAAGCAGGCACCTGTTGTTCATATCAAAAAAACCAACTGCAAATTGAAAATAAACAAAATAAAATGCACTTTTAATGGCATTATGCTCCTTGTATTTTTACGTTCCATGTCCTAGAGCTATTTATAAAATTTGCATGTTTTGCTCCTATTAAATCTATGAATTGAATTGCTTGCATAAATGGGCATTTGGCTTTAGTTAGTTCCCAGACTCAGCTTCTTTTTTCAAATCGTGTAGTTCCTTCCATTACAGTAGTTTACAAGTTCAATCACTGCAAGCCTTATTATTATTCTTGAGATCAATATTCCATCCACCTATTCACTGAGGGTCAAAAGAGACTTTACTTTAAATCTGTGCCTAGCAGCTATGCATTTTTTTTTCATTCCTTGAGTTAGTAGAAAGGACTCCAGTTCAGATAATCCTAGTCTGAGGAACGGGGGGTTGGGCAGGACACATGAGCTAAGATCTTGATCAGAAGTCCTATACCTACTCAATACTAAGAATGAACCAAAAAGTTAAAGTAATATTTGCTCTGGTTTTTTTTAACATTTGTATTATTTTTTTTTCTAAATACTACTAAAATAAAAGATTAGAACTAAAATAGAAACATAAAAATAAACATACAATTGAAATAATTCTTAAATTCTGGTTACCTGAAGGAGCGCTTACATCCATATATGCCCGACCGCCCCTTGAGATCTGCGGGAGAGGCCCTTCTCTGGGAACCCTCCATGAAAGAAATTAGGAGGGTAGGTACTCGGAGGAGGGCTTTCTCTGTGGTGGCATCCAATCTATGGAATGTGCTCCCCAGAGAGGTCCGCCTGGCGCCGTTGTTATTTGTTTTTTGGCGCCAGGTGAAGACCTTTTTATTTAAACGTCATTTTAATTGTTAACAATATTTGCTTATTTATCTGGCCAGGGTGACTTCTTTTATATTTTATATTTTATATTTTTATTTATTTTATATTGTTAATTTTAATTTTATATTGTTATTTTTGTATTTTATTGTATTTTATTGTGTTGTAAGCCGCCCCGAGGCTTTGGCAAGGGGCGACATAGAAATGTTCTAATCATCATCATCATCATCATCATAAATATCTGCTTTGGACTTCAGCTAAACAGCTAGAAAGAATATAGTTGTGTATGCTAGAGTCTAGGATTTTCCTCTTCCATTCATGGTGAACCATCTGCTTTTCTTAAGTACACATACTTAACATACTTAAGAGAGTTAAGAGTTAATTATTATCCCATGGATACAATGTGAAAATAGTGTTCAAAGTACGAAGTAAGCAGACCAGCACTCCCGCATAATATCAATGACCCATTCACAGTGCATGACGAACCACTGGTCACTTGGCCTTACATGAATGCTGTCGTCTCTTACTGCATTGTGCAGAGAGGGTGCTCTATGGCAGAATGCTTCAGCAATTTCATAGCATTAAGATTCTATGAAATGTACTCTTAGTGGGAAGGAGGCACTTACACATCACCAAGAAATAGGGCAGAGATGTGTGTAAAATTGGCATATGCAAATTCATGTCCAGAAGGAAAAAGAAGAAGAATGACTATAATTAAATTATAAAGGCATTACAACTCACCATAGTAGAGCTGATGAGCAGCTTCAAGGACTCTGCTTTCAGTTCTTATAGTATTCTTTAACTCAGATGTTGACAGCCCTGCAGGGAATTGACCTCTTACAATCCTTCAGAAGACAATTCTGTCTTCTGCTAAGCCGGGTGCCCAAGTACCTGCTGCCTGCTGAGTTAAAAGATAGTTTGCTCTGTTGGCCTTGTAAGAAGAGAACTAAGCCTCATTTGAGTATATCATTCTTACGTCCTTATGCTAGAACATAGGAAGAGTCATGCTGTATCAGACTAAGGGGCCATCTAGTCCAGCATTCTCTTCACACAGCAGACAACCAGCTGCCCACAGAAAACCCACTCAAGCTGCCCAGCAACTGGTGTACACAGGCATGCTGCCCCTGATACTGGAGGTAGCATATGGTCATGGGGACTAGTAGCCAGTGATAGCGTTCTCATCTATTAATTTGTCCAATCCCATTTTAAAGCCATCCAGAGTGGTGGCTCCTACTACATCTTGTTGCTACATTGCACCAATTTGTTTTTTTCAAACAGTTTTTCCAATAAACATTCTCAAGGAAACCACTAGAGAGCTTCAGATTGTTCTGCTCTTCCCACAACACCACGTGTCATGCAATAAGGTAGCATGTGTGTGAGAAACCAAGGGCATTGTGGTTCCTTTACATCCTTGCTTCTATCTGTAGACTTAAGGAGAGAGAAGAAACTATGACACCTTCTACTTTTATGTTTCCTGCAAATAGTCTATAACGACAATCCCTTTTCTGGGCTCTTTTTACTTGGCCATAAACTGTGATCTAATCTTGATGGGAGGGCAGTGTGGGGTCTGGTTGCCTGGCATGGTTTAGTTTTTTGACATTTTCGTCACTGTATTTCATCCTGAGGTTAAGGAACGATTACTTTTATTGCTCTAATTATTCATGTCAGCAATTGCTCCATCACTTGAATCGGTAGAAACCACAAACAAGGGTTGCCTCATGCCACTCTTCTCCAACCTGTTACCTTCCAGATGTACTGTGTTGCAATTCCCAGAATCCCCATCCAATTAAAAGTGTGGGTTTTGCTTTTGCTTTTAGTTTGGTGGCCACGAAGGAAACAGACAGTGCAAGATCTCGTAGCACATCAATGTCTCCATCGGATTTCCTGGATAAATTAATGGGTAGAATGTCTGGCTATGATGCAAGAATCCGGCCAAACTTCAAAGGTAATTTCATCTCCCAGTTATCCACATGAGAATGACATTTCCATTGTGCAATACTTTGGGTAAAATGATCACTTTGGAAGGATGGATGGAAGGAAGGATTAATGTTTAGCTAATAAACATTTAACTGGAAGATGGGTTTGCTCTCTCACACACATTTTTCTGCATGGTTGAAATTTCTGGAGAATTTGCTATGCCCAAGTTATGTTAGAGAGTGGAGGACTTTTATAACATTTGTGGGTGAAAGACATACAGTAGAAATTAAATGCCTACAGAAAGACACAAGTTGTTCACAGCCAAGTTTTGTTTGAAAAGTAGCATTCTGATCTGTAACAAACTGAAGTTTGTGGACCAATATAACATGCAGTAACCTTCCTTCCTTCCTTGTAGTTAGTCTGCTTTTTAAATTTTTATTTTTATTTTTTGTTTTGGGCCTGCTTTCTCTTACCCAGAGAACATAAGGAGAGGCAGGAATGGAAGTCATAAATGTCATTAAATGTATCTTAGAACTTAGAATATTTGCCAGAAGATATTAAACTATTAAATTAAATATTAAATTAAAATATTAAACACTTGTGAAGAGAATAATTTTTTAAATTACTGGAAATATTAAATATTACTAGAAGTCGGGGCTGAAGAACAACACTTTCCTGCCTGGGACAAAGTAAACAACAAATCCAAGGCTTTTTCACAGGTTTGTTTATGAGCAAGGAAACTCTGATATTAAATGTTAAACCACAAATACCAGAACAGAGGTCCCATGAGAAGTCGCAAATCCAGTATTGTGAAGCTATACCATAGCACCACCTTTTGATAGATAAACAGAATATTTAGACAAGCACAAACCTCAGGGGGAAAATACCTGTGCAAGGTTCACACATTTCATTCCACAATAAAAACAGAATATTCAATAAAACAATTGGTTAAACACCTCATGTAGAGTAGTCTTCTATAGTCCCCAAAATAAGAAATCAATAGCTTAATTATTATTAGCTTTATAAATTAACGGGAGCTTTGTCTATTGGGAAGTATAGACAATAGACTTTGTCGCTGAAATAAATAATAACAGCAACAAAGACAATTACCTGTCCTTTCATGCCACCAAAAAGGCATCTCATTCTCCTTCTCTCCATTTGTGCAAGAGAAGCAGCAGTAGCAGCAGCAGGCCAGTGTGGTGTGGTGGTTAGAGGGCTGGACTGGGAACCTGAGAGATCCAGGTTCTAGTCCCAGTTTGGACATGGAGCCTGTGGGGTGACTTTGGCCCTATCACTCACTCTTAGCCTAACCTACCTCATCAGACTGAGGATTAAGTGGAGTGGAGAATAACTATGGAAGCTGTCTTGGGTTCCACACAAGAGAGAAGATGGGATACATGGGTAATATACGAATTACATCTCTACCCGAAGATTACTCATCGCTTGTAAACACACATAGACAGCACATTGTTATTTTAATATAACGGGCAGTATCCAATACAGCTGCTGTGCTTCTGTGTATTCTATTGCACTTGTGTGACTCATTGCAAGTGGAAAAAGAACTGATGCTTCCTAAAGACATCCAAAAATGATTATTTCCAGAACTTATTTCCATGCATTTCCCATTGCTTCAGGAAACTCTAGGTTTCCAGTGCGCTAATAGCAGGCCCTGCTAATATGCAATATTGGATGCCATTCTTGTTTCACTTTAAGCAGGGAAAGAAAGGGGAGAATCTCCTGAATAACTGCGCCTTCCTATGACCACACTTTAATGATCTGTTCCATTTATTAGCATTCTTTGAATTTAGCAGACAAGAATGTTGTCCCTCCAGGTAACTGTGGCCTGGTAATGCCCACCAATGACCGCTACATGGAGGTGTGAGCTTGTTTTGGCTTTTGGCTCCTTTAATCATTCCATGTAATGGCTGGATCCTCCCATGTAGCCTTTTCTCACAGGAAGCCACTTGTGCATTCTCAGAACCTCTGCTTTAGTGGAGCAGACTAAATTCCTGCATCAGCAGAGAAACTCCACAGAAAGAGCTTCTTAGCAAGAGCCAGGAATTTAACACAACCTGCGTGGGCAGCTGTTCCATATGCACTGATCGTCATGTGACTGAGGGAGGAGGGTGGCTCGACGAAGAAAAACAAGTAGGTTGGCATATAAGTGAACTTACACAGTTACATAAGATACACGCTTCTAATGTTACTTTCCTGCTGTTGTGTCATCTTCCTAATTGCTCTCTTTGCCCCAGCCTGCCCTGGGTTTGTTGCTCAAGCTGTTCTATGCTTCGTATTGCTGCCATCATTAGCCCCCGAACTTCAAGTTCAACCCCAGGTAAAGCCACGCTCCACAGAAGATGACTTCCTTGAGCAAATATATTTCTCCCCATTTTCTTGCAACCTTTTACAGATTTCTGGGAAAGCATTAGGAGAAAGCTTAAGACTTAGTGGTTCATTTGGTGATTGCAGTGTGGATCTTCTTATGCAACCATGCTCATCTGGTAAAGCTATAGAATAGAGTAGGGGTGACATTTAGCCATTAACAGGTTTTTGTTACATGTTTCCTAAATATAAAAAGATTGGGAGCCTTCTTTTGTAAGTTGCTGGGATATGAAAATATCAAGATGAAAGAGACAAGAACATAAGCTGACATTCTTTTCCTTCTCCTTAAAATTGCACTTCACAAATCTTCTGAACAATTATGTATTTAAACCGCATATTGCAGGAGCAATTCAGATCTATTGCTAGGAAACCATACCTACCTCTCTGCTCTTTGCAACTTTTATACAAATTTTCTATTACAATGAAAGCAAGTATGTTCAAACATAATTAAATATCATTTATGACTCTACAGAAAGACAACACATTTCAAAAGATAACTCTAGAAGCACTTTTGTCTTTCATGTAATATGAGAGTTACTCGTGCAGATATACACTTGATGTTGAAGATGAAAATTATTACATCATCTATTAGGGGTATGCTTCAGATTCAGACAAATCCCAAATCCTGAGCTGTACTGGGCAGTTTCAGAGAACATCAGAGTTTGTCTGAACTGAAAAGAGCTCCCCTGGAAACATTCCAAAGTGAATTGAGTTCTCTCTGAAGCCGCATGATTGATTTGGAGACAAAGGAATAAGCAGATAGTTTGTCACCACTACTTCCTATACTTTCCTTATAGGGAAAAGGCCAAGGTCTAGGGACAGAAGTGAGGGAGAAGAGATTTTGTGACTGAAATGTTTGGTTTTACTCTCAGGGAATGATTTTACTAAGACTTCCTAATCATAATGTTTGGGGGTAGGATGTTGAAATAATTTATCCACATATTTCCAAACTGTTTTGGTGCTGTTTGCTAATTTATCTATTGAGCAGGAATCTTAGAAGTTTTTGGCTTGTGTTTCTTATTTTTACCAGAACCTAAACCAGTTTCCTACCTTATCTTAACTAATCCTTTACCATAAAACACATGAACAAAAACCAAAACCAAAAAGTCTTAAACTGATTTCCACTCATTCCAACACTCTAACCCATATATCTGTCTTCCTAAAATTTCTTGCTGAGAGACCTCCATGATGTGACACTTTCATAGTAATTGGCTGCAGAAAGCATTTTTTAAAAATCCCAAAGTATATATTCTCATTTTCCATGAAATCTTCTGCACGTATTCAGGTGACATTTGGCAGACTACCATCCTGGAAAGCTTCATCTATATCTGCCTTGAAACTTATAGACAGTTCCCTTAAAAAATAACAAAAATTAAAAGGAATTTGCACAACACCTCCTAGAGAGCTTCATCTCTTGGGTAGTATAGAAATTAAATGAATGAATGAATAGAACCCAATACACTCTTTTGTTTGAAATTTGAGCAACTATTATCACCCCCACAAAAGAAGCTCTTTTGCCTTGAAATTTCATCTGCTTCTCACTGGTGGGTATGAAGTTGAGATTTCCTGAAATAAGATTTTGATGGAGGCACGAGCTTAATTAGGTGCCCTTCAAACTTTTCTGAGCTGCATCCAGTGGCTGTCTGAATCACCAACGTGGGGTGTGAACTAAGTATGGTTGGGGCACTCTTCTAATATCTGTAACTGCTTATTCCTTATGACAGACTAGCTCATTATAACTAAACTGAAGAGGCTCTTTCTTTTTTTGCCCATAGCAAAATGGTAGCAAGAACTCCTGTAACCTACCTGTGATTCCACTGCTTTATTCATTCAGACATAATATGATGGTTCATCATGCATCTTGTTCTTTGATGAGTTTTTTCACCTCATGTATTAATTTCCATTATTCTTCTGGAATGACCTTAGGTTCAATTTAATTTTCCTAGAACTGGAAAGCAACTGAGCATCTATTAATACTATTCTCAAAATACATTATTATTCTCCTTTCTTATAACCACTCCAGGCAATAGGTAATTATCCCCATTTCACAGATATGGATCTCAGGCTGAGAGGCTCACTTGCTGAAGGCCACTTAGTGATTGTTGGAGAAGAGTTATCACAATGACCCTGATCATCATTCAGGAACATCAACACAAAAGACCACACATGGTAGAAACCATTCAGGACCACTTGTTGTGATGTGTGAACCTGGCCAGTGAAAAAAATTGAAAGAGGGGAACAATGGTGACAAAATAACACGTGAAAGCATAGCTTTAAGTTACTTCCTTCGTTTGTACAATGTTTTATCATACTTTGAACTGATTTGGTTATTGGGTGGCATAGAGATGTAATAGATGCATGTGTCAGTTATTAAATGCCAACCAAGTCCCAAATTAGAGATAGTTTGCTGTTGCAGAAGGCATGGCACATGGCATTATGCTTGTACACATCCTCTCCTATTAAAGGTAGGATCAGTCCTACTGAAATCTTTTCAGTGGAGCAGAAGTTCTAGGTGTATACCTTTCAGTGCTAAGTTTGAGATGGTTTTCATCTCTGCATCCCTTTTACACAGGTGGAAGGGCATATCTGTAGATTTCTACAATGATCAAGAGCTACCTTGATCATTGTCTTTAGCCCACCTACTTTCCAATAATCATGAACATTGACAAGGAATAGAAAATGATGGTTTGATGTGCTCAAATGCACATGAAACAAATTGTTACACAACCATCAAAGGAGTTTTTTTAAAAAAGCTCCCCTTCTTTTTTGGCACTTCTGCAAATGTTTGATGTTAAGGCAGAAAATATTTCTAGACTACCTTTGACAAATACCTGAAGGAGTGTGTCCTCTTTGTTCTACTTGACAACCCCTTCTAAGTTGTCAGGGCAGTAAAATGTGATTGGATTTAACTTAAAGGAAGAGATTCATTGAAACAGTGTCTATTTTATTCATTGTGAAGTAAGGCTGCACTGTGTACTGATTCACAGAAAGTGACGTGCATGCTACCAATTTTATAGATTTTCACAGTATACATTTCACCAATGGTAGACTGATCTTTCCTTCAGCTGTCTGAAGTTTCTGTATTTCAGGCAGCCTGGGCAATATCCAATGATAGTAAGAGAGTATCAGTGCCACTCCTCTAAGTTCTTATCCTAATCCCACCTGCTCCTCAAATTCTGTTGCTATGGGGGTTTCCAGCCTGTTAGGGTTGGTAAGCGCTTTTGGAATTTTGAGGGAATGTTGTGAGCAGTCTCTCAAAATGGCTAGCATTGGATGCTTGCCTGTTCGTTAAAATGGCTATCATGGTGCACATGGCTAGTCATAAAACTCATTTTCCAGAAAACAACTGGTAAAAACAAAAAAAATGATAAATTGCCCTATGGACTCTTTTTTATTATTTGAACCCAAATAAAGGTAGTGCAGGAAGATACTTTGCAGCATACTAGACTGTCAGTTAACAAGAGAAAGAGGAGCATGGAACTTGATGGGTATCCATCAGCACATTGGTTCCCATGGGCACCATTTTGGACAGCTCAGTTTTACTGATTCTCACAAAGCCAATTTGTTCATCACTATAGCCTAGCCCACTAATATTGTTTGACAACAATACAATTGTTTGCTTCATGTAAGCATTAATATTTGAATGTTTGAAATTTCTTTTCAGGGCCTCCAGTAAATGTCACATGCAACATCTTTATAAACAGTTTTGGATCCATTGCAGAAACCACTATGGTAAGATGTTGTTTACCACAAAATTTAAATTTCTATTTATTTAGGCTGTAATGATTCACATGTTGACTCATTAGTAAGTTCCGTTGATCTGAATAGGACTCAGATGTAACCTTCTAAACAGAGACAGATTCCATACACTTACAGAATTCCTGCTTTACATGTATAGCCTTTCATTTTATTGACATTATATTATATTCAAATACTCTTAGGATGATGAATGTCCTTGGTGAAATCAGAAGCCCTGACTGACTTATTCACCTTATGTCCATGCCGTTTTTTTTCTCCACTGCTACGTATGTGGTCAAGTAATGTTAATGTGCCACCTTGATCAACACTCTACCTTTTATGTTCTATCAAACTATCTATCTATCTATCTATCTATCTATCTATTTATAAAATGTGTATGCCATCCAATTACTAACATCTCTGAATGGCTAACAGCATGAATAAATTGATGACCCACTCTGGCTGCAATTAATAAAATACAATGATACAATTCAATATTAAAACTTATTAAAATATTGATTAAATAAAAAGGTCTTAACCTGGCGCCGAAAAACAAATAATGACAGCGCCAGGCAGACCTCTCTGGGGAGCGCATTCCATAGATAGGGCGCTACCGCAGAAAAGGCCCTCCTCTGGGTACTCTGTCTCCTAATATCTTTCACAGAGGGTTCCCGGAGGAGGGCTTCTGCTGCTGATCTCAGGGGGCAGGAGGGCAAATAGGGAAGAAGGCGTTCCTTTAGATATCCTGGTCCCAAGCTGTTTAGGGCTTTATCAGTAATAACCAGCACCTTGAATTGAGCCCAGACTTCGATGGGAAACCAATGGAGCTGATAGAGGACTGGGGTTATATGAGAATAACGCCAAGACCTGACCCTCCACTCCAGCCTTTCTCATTTTCCACCCAGGAACTCATCTCCTTTAAGGCTAAGCCTCCAATCCCTTCTTAAGAATATGCCTTCCACAACCCCTCAGCATTTGTGAGAGAGCTCAGCCAAAGGAATGCGGGGTCTGCCTTTCTAAGTCTGCATGAAGCAGAAGCTCTCTCATCTCTTCAAAGTATGTCATCCAAGTTCTCTGTTGCATCCTGCAGGATGTTATCAAGAAGAGATCCATGACTGTTGCTACTGATCTAATGAGTGCATTTGTGAAGTCACTGCCCATTTCAGATACATCCTTGGTGTTCCATCAGTAGCATTCCACATTCATTTAATGGAATGGATGTTATTCTTGCACAGAGATGCTCCTTACACTAAAATGAATGGAGACAGCATTGCACAGAAGTCCATCAGAATTCTGGATGCAAGCCATCATTGGATCGTAGCAACTGAGTGGCAATTCCAGTGTGTTTTGGGGAGGATCAGGAAAAGCCCAGGAAGCAGAGAGAGGGTCATAGATTTATACAGGTGCCACACTGACTCTGTGATTTCATGGTCTTTAGCAGACCCCATCCACATATTTGGAGACCTCTTTATTTCCTCCCAGGAACCAGAATGCTGTTCATCCAAAAAGAAAGCTCTTATTTGGCAGGTACATGCAATGCATATTAGTCTCTGGAGTCTTGAGTGCAGTCAATGATAAATTATTGCATAATTTTTCTTTTTCCGTGTTCCTGGTATATTGGTTTTCAGGAATAACTAGTAAACGGCAGAGCTGAATGCAGGGGACTGCCAGTGCTCTGTAATAGTTTGGCTTCTAAATTATGCATTGATGGAGTGCAAAGGAGGACTTTTTTGCGGTCAGCAATTGTCATATTCTGTCAGAATCAAAGCAATCATTTGGAGAATACAAGCATGCTTAAAACGTACACAGCACTATTTGTGACCTTTATCTTAGTTTAGCATCCAGACTCTTTAACTTCACTATACCAAACAAGAAAAGCTTTTAAAATTAAAGTAGGACACTTAGGTACCTTAGTTAACATTTTAATGCTTTTTTTACTTAGCAGGGGGTCATCTTCAACTGCATATCACTTGGCTTGTGTAATCCTTACATTTTGCTTTCTCCTTGGAATGAGGAGAAACTGTTACTTAAGGCTGTATGACTGAATCTACTTCCAAGAGCACTGAATCTGGGAGCTAGGACTCTGGTTAACCCTAAGAGCACTTCAGGCAAGGTCGGGAGGCCATAGGAGTGTGGCCTAATTCTCTACCCAAATATGCCAATGTTTTTAAGAAAGGCTTTGAATTAGTTGACGTAAAAGTTCCTTTACACAGTATTATATGGAGCACACTGGGTAACATGGGACCAGTCACAGGCTCTCAGCTCAAACTACCTCACATGGTTGTTGTCAGGATAAAAAAATTGAGAGGAGGAGGAAGATTATGTAATTCCTTGAAGGGTTTTTCCTTGAATTATGACCTGACTTACTCAAAAGAAAAAGGAACAATATTAATTAAATAACGGACTATGTATTACCTGAGGAGATATCAAATTTAAATTCTGTATTTGGAATGATGTCATTTCACTTTCATGTACATTTCTCAAACACAAACACAGGTTATATTACCTGAAAGATTGATTTTATAATCTCTTTTAACTTAATACATCCAATATATTTATTTTTAAACATACACACCAAAATATTAGGTTTGTGGGGCGAAACAAAACAGTCAACAGGCAGGTAAATTCAGAAAGGTATGCCTTTGAGAGTGTAATTACTTTAAAAAAAAAATAAAAAACTTGAGGACTTTAAATGATAATGGTTAAGACTTGACCTTGTTATAATAAATTAAAAGAGAAATATGGAGATGCTAATGCTGGTGCTGATGATTATTTCTCAATATTCACAAAAAAGCATTCCACAATACAAGGTAATCAAATATAATAGAAAATACATGCAATTCTAGATGTAACGTAATCTAAACAGCCAAAACAGTAACAGTAAGCTTTTCAGTCTGAGGAATAGCAATTCCTGTACTGCATACCAAGTGCCATACACCTGGGAAGAAAGAACTGTCTTAACCTGTGGCATCAGGTGGATCTCAGTAGTAGCAGCATCTCATGACTGGGGGAAAGGGGGCATACTGAGATGCTCCTCTTTCATGTTGCCATGTCCCAAGCCTTCTCAGAATCAATACTTGGAGGAAGGCCTCTGAAGTCAATCTTAGTCTCCTGGATGCTATGGGGAGGAGGTCCAAATGTTAGGTAGACCTAGTGTTAGCTCCAGAGTCTTAAGAGTCCTTGGACAACACACTCTGAATGGCTCTCTCTTTCTTGGGAAGTCTATCTTCTCACCACCAGGCCTTCAGCTGTTATTATCCCTCATCCTCTGTCTCATCATTGCTGCCACTTGCTTTCCTGACAGGAGGAGAGACAGTGAGCAAGATGCTGGTTGCTATGGTGCAGAAGAGAAGCAAAACCAAAGAGGCTTGCTGGTGGACACCTGCTGGGTGTAGGCCCTGAGCAACGCCCAATCACACCCACCTTTGGTTCCAGTCTTCCTGCTACCCTCAATGAATTTGCAAATGTGGCATGTAACTCCTGCTGCAATCAGACACAGTTGATATTTAAAATTGCATGAAATATGTACTCCATTAAATTCCCCTTTTCCTCTTCCCCTTTTAAAGCAAAATACATTCATGCTCCCTTTCCATTCATTCTTTATTTACAGCTGAAGTAATCTACAAAGCCTTCCAGCATAAAGCAAGAACTGCATTCTCATAACACCTTTTTCTTGTGTTTGACAGCAGAGTCAGGGGGAGACAGCAGTGAGTCCTGATTTCATGAATTGACCAAACATTGTAGAACTGCATGCATGCTTGGTGACCTGAAAATAAGTTCCATAGGAATTTGCTCAAAGCTAATCAGAAAGCTAATACATTCTGATGAGACTGGACTAGTCCAAACATGCATGATTTTTATTTCCAGATGTCCAAGCAAGGAGGCAGCTTCCATATATACCCTATTTTCGAACTAGTTTAAAATTCCTTAATCTGAAAAGTTAGTATTTACATCTTAAAACTGTATTCAAGGCTTCCAAGTGTTGGGATATATTTTTCTATGTCGTGTTAGACACTTTTGAGCTCTATGTATAAAATATTAGATGTATCAACACACAAGGGATAAAATAATTTCATACTCCAATGGCACAATTTTATGCCTGCTGAACACAGCAGAACTTAGTTCCTAAGTAAGGAAGTTTGCATAGGATGAGGTACTATCCAAATCTGTAAAGACTGCACTTTTGCTTCATAGTTCACTGAAGGTATGTAGACAACTGCAGGAAGTTTGCATGTTTTGCTAAGTAGGCTTTCAATGAAATGTTTGCTACAGTTTACTTACTTGGTGACGGCCATGATGTTTAAGAAATTCCACCTGATCTGCTCAAAAACAGAGTTGTAAAAACTTGTTATAATTTATTAGCCAAATTTGCATTTAATATTTACTATTAACATAACAGATTGAAAGTTAATGCAGTAAGTGTGATCCTTGTTAGGCTTAGGAATCCTTTTAGTATAAACATAATTTAATAATGAAAAAGAGGGCCTGATTCAAAAATATGTTTATACAGATAATTAAGCTTTGGAATGACCAGTTTGAAGAAGTTTTATAGCACTCAGTTGCACACCTGTCTGGACTAGGTGATTCCACCATATTCATATATGTAATTGCTTTCATAATTTCCTAAGAGCGCAAAAGAAGCGAGAAAAACTGTCAGTGTGAGGAACCTAAACATGGAATATAAATTTGAGGGGAAATAATAATAATAAAAGCCCCCAAGTCCTGCTCTTATGCTTCCTACCTGAATTTTACAAATCAGAATGAAACTCTACAAATTGTGAATTGACTTCTACAGGAGATGTACATGTCATTTTACTGCCATCTTAAATAGCTGAAATAAAATTTCAGTGTTTTGATATTTAAGACAACATCCCGGATTCTTACCATTTCCCAACTGTGCCTGTAATAAACAGGTTACGGCAAAATCTATCAGCTATGAAAGAATATTACTCAGCTCATATTCAATGCTCTGCAACTCCAGATAAAGTTGTGCA